CCTCCAAAGAGCGTCCTACCCAGAGCCAACCCGCCCCCCCAGTCCTATCCTTGTAACCCAGTACTTCCCATGGCTAATCCACCCAGCCTGCACATCTCTGGACACTATGGGCAATTTAGCATGCCCACTCCATCTAACCTGTACATCTTTGGACTGTGGGAGGAAACCAGAGAACTCAGTGGAAATCCCTACACACACTGGGAAAATGTGCAAACTCCACACAGACAGTGACCCGAGGAGGGAATCAAACTCGAGTCCCTGGTGCTATGAGAGAGGGGAAAGATTTAAAGAGACCTAAGGGCCAACTTTTTCACGCAGAGGGTGGTGCGTGTATAGAATGAACTGCCAGAGGAGGTGGTGGAGGCTGGTATAATTACAACATTTAAAAGGCATCTGGATGGGTATATGAATAGGAAGGGTTTAGAAGGATATGGGCCAAATGCTGACAAATGGGACTAGATTAATTTAGGATATCTGATCAGCATGGACAAGTTTGGCCGAAAGGCTTGTTTCTGTGCTCTACTGCTCTGACTGTATGCTAACCACTGAGTCACCATGCTTTAATCCAGCAGAAGTTTTGAGAGCACTAGTTTAATTATATAATTAAATGCATTTACATCTGGAAGCTCCTTCTTGTTTGTTCTAAGAACAATATTTTTGCCATGAATATTAGAAAAGGAAAATACTGTCAATGCAGATGATTTGACAGAAGTGCTGGAGAAACTCAGCAGGCCAGGTAGCGTTTGTGGTGAGAGCCAAGTAAATGTTTTCAGGCCAGTGTCCCTTCCAAAGACAACAGAGGGCAGAAGAAATTGGCCGACAGATGGACTGATGGTGCAAAATCAAGGGAAATGGGAATGATTCAAGTTGATAAACAAAACCTGTCAAGAGGAGTGTGAATGGCAGGAATGTCCAAAAGCAAAGAAGTACAGTAAGAGTGATGAGGGTATAAAGAAATCAAGCCAGTAAAGAAATACAAGTCAAAACGGTGGTAGAGGTTACAATATAAAACTATTGAACACTATATAACTTCAGCTGTAAAGGGCTCAGTGTGAAGGCGAGGTACTGCAGCTTAAGTGTGTCTTGAGCTTCATTTGAACACTGTAGCAAGCTAAGATCAGAATGGCAGCAAAAAGGACAATTGACATGCTGTAAGAACATAAGAAATAGGAGCAGCAGATGCCTTTCAGTCCCTCAATCCTGTCTTGCCATTCAACAAGATTGTGGCTGATTTACCCAAGGCCTCAACTCTTCTTTCGGGCCTGCTCAGCACCACCATTAACTCCTTGATGTTTGAAAATATCTAACTGTCTCCTGTATAAATAATCTCAATGATCTAGCGTCAGTGACACTCAAGAATAGAGATTCCAAACATTGACCACCCTTGGGGAAAAGAAATTCCTTCGCATCACTGTTTTAAACGAGTATTCCTTATTCCAAACTGTGTCTCCTGTTCGAGATTCCCCTTCGAATGGAAACATTTTCTTATTACCTACCTTACCGTGCTGTCTCAGAATCATGTTTGTTTCATTAAGATCACTCTTCATTCTTCTAAATTCTAATAAATAATTGCCTAAACGTTTTAGCCATTCTCGAATTGCCAACCCATTCTAATTAAACGAGGAATCAGCAATTGAATTTCTTTTGAACTGTCTCCAATGCTAGTATCCTTTTTTTTCAAATCTGGGGTCCCAAAACTGTACACAGTACTTCAGGTGCGACCTCACTAACACCCTGAACAGTTGTAACAGAATCTCTTTAATTTTAATCTCCACCCCTACCAATAAAGGCTAAAACTAAATGTATCCTCTTAATTATTATTGCTCTTAAATGATTAACTTTTGTGCTTTATGCACAAGAACAGCCAGATCCTTCTGTGCTGCACTTTTTAGGTATCTCTCTTTATTCAAATAATGCATTTTGATTTTTCTTACCAAAGTGCATAACTTCACGTGTTCCTAAATCAAATTCCATCTGGAAACCCCCAATCCGTGCTAATACATTATCCTCATACCATGAGCTCCCATCTTGTGCGAGAATGTTTTATTGGGTACCCTATTGAATGCCTTCTACGAGTCCAAATACCTTGTATCTACCAGTTTCCCTTTATCAATTCTCCTTGTCATACTCTTAAATTTTTCACGCATAATTTTCGGTACGGTGCCTCAGTGGTTAGCACTGCTGTCTTACAGTGTAAGGGTTCCGTGTTCAATTCCAGCCTCAGTGATTATCTGTGTTCAGTTTGCATATTCTTCCCATGCCTGCATGGGTTTCTTCCCACAGTCCAAAGATGTACAGGTTAGGTGGGATTGGCCATGCTAAATTGCCCCATAGTGTTCAGTATTGGCTATGGTGGATGTAGGGTTACAGTGATATGGGTGTGATGCTCTTTGAAGGGCCAGTGCAGACTCAATAGGCCAAATGGTCTGCTTCTGTGCTGTAAGGATTCTATGATTCTTTTACATGTAGACTCTGTTTGATTTCTTAAGCTTTTCAAATTGTTCTGTTATTTATTTCTTAAGAATAGACTCCAGTATTTTCCCCACTGACAGATGTTAGGCTAACAGGCCTTTAGGTTGTTGCTCTCTGTTTCCCTCCCTCCCTTCTGGAACAGGGACAACATTTTAATGACTCTCCAATCTAATGTAACCCTCCTGGAGGTTCTGGAAGATTTTGACCTTCATCTCTACTATCTCTGCCACCACTGCATACCCTTTGATGCAGGTCCTCACTATTCCCATTGGTTTTTCAAATACTTTACCCCTCATGATAGAGACTGTGCCAAGACCTTTCCTCCCATTAGCACCTTGCTTATCCGACATCTTTGAGATGTTCTTAGTGTCCTCCATCATGAAGAACGATGCAAAATATTGATTTACAATTTAATGTTTCCCTGTTATTAATTCCCTAGTTTCATCCTCCAACGTTCCCACACTTAACTGCTCTCATTTTATACAAGTGTTCAAACTCTTGATTTTTTTTTGGTTTCTTGCCAATTTTATTCGATAATTGAGACTTTCATAATGACAAGTGATTGGAAGCTCATGGCCATGATTGAATGTCACCCAATCTGCAGTTGCTCTACCCACATTCTGAGCAGCCAATACAGCCTATTAAATTGAAACAATATACAAACAGTGCTGAACCAGCATGGCATTTCCAACCATTCATATGGCTTTCTGATTGCAGATTGAGAAACATTTTATCACTGTTTTACACCTATTTAGTGTCCCCCAACTTCATTCTAGTTCAGAATCAGAATAGAGTAAGTGGAGCTATTCATTTCACCAGCCTAGCCTTGCTTCAAATGGAAGAACTATGTTCAAAATTTACTTGAACTTACTGCTACCCAATTTCTTTTTAAGTATAGTAGCCAGTTTACAGCATTGGAGATATTTTCTAGAAGAAATATGCTCACTACGGTACACTCTGGAGACAATTCACAGCCTTCACATTTCCTTAAGGGTTGCTGTTGGAAAGCCTTTGGCTTGATGGTGTATTTTGGAGTGGTCTTCATATTCTACTGTCACTTGATACATCTATCACAATACTGCCTCAATCCATCATCATATGGCCAGGCGCGAAGGGTGTGAATTAATTTCCCTTTTTTCGACCTTCTCAAATGGATGCAAGTCAGATTATTTTTAATTTTATGTTGACCTTTGTCACTTCAATAAAAACAAGTTCATCGGTTCATCAGAACCTTGAAGAAGCCAATTACAAAGTTTTCTTGAGTGAAAGGCTGAGTAATTTTATTACTTCCTAACCCCAAGAAAAAAGACGTGACATGAAATATACATACACAATTGTGATCTTGTCCACCCCAGTCCACCTCCACATCTTGTTCATTACAGTGTCTGAGTTCCTTGTTTTCCAACAGGCTAACCGCAGGCAATGTTTCTTTATCCTTAACATGTATTTTCCATAAAGAGGGGAATGAAACAGGAGATATAAATCCAATTGACAAGTTTGTGTCTTTTGATAAGATGTTCTTCATAACTGTTTCTTGTTTATTGATGGATTTGAGAAACTTGGCTCGAACTATGTTCAGGTGAGCCATGCCCATTTTTAAGTCAGCATATTCTGTCCATGCCGTGAAATGCCCTAAGTATCAAAGTAAGATGACAGAAGTCCAAAATTGATAATCCTTATTTTACCACCATTATGTTGACTTGTTTATTTGGATGAATGCAGTGCACACGGGACGGTGATTCAATAAAAATCTGGAATTAAGAGTCTAATGACGACCATGCATCCATTGTCGATTGTCGGGAGAACCCATCTGGTTCACTAATGCCCTTTAGGGAAGGGAACTGCCATCCTTACCTGGTCTGGCCTACATGTGACTCCAGACCTACAGCAATGTAGTTGACTCCTAATTGCCCTCTGGGCAATTAGGGATGGGCAATAAATGCTGCCCTAGCCAGCGACGCCCTCATCCTGGGAATGAATAAAAAAAACACACTGCCTGAAAGCCAAGTTTCACATCGTCTCCTAGGAATCATCAAGATCCAGATATATCTCAAATATGAATCAGACTGCAGCCAGACAATAACAAAAGGCCTATCCCTGACCCATATGAGGTGATGTCTAACTTACAGAAGCTTCAATATGCCATTCACCCAATCTCAACCCCAATATCTGTGGACCAGTGATAGACTGCTAAGCAAAACATTGTTCCTCGCAAATGCACAGATGTATTAAAAATGCAAACATATTCTCATGCCAGCACTGAGCAACAAAACTGTACAATGGCACTGGGAATAGATTTGTGTATCCCACTCGGAAAAAATTGAGTAGCACAAACTTTGAGTATTGTCTTTACTGATGCAAACAGGACAGCAGTGGGCAACTTGTTTGTGTTAGATTCTGGAATGCTTGTGCTGCATTTCCTTGCTGAAGTAATTACAATGCAATATTAAGACTGGTGCGAGAGGCAAGGTCAGACAGAGACTGCACTGACTCATAGTATTTGCTCCCTCTTTACTTTATATTTCAAGATGGATGAAATTAAAGCTAAAGATCGAACAATCTTCTCCCTGGAAAAAGAGTTAGAGGTGCAAACAGGTTACACACAGAAGCTTCAACTCCAGAAGGAGGCTCTGGACGAGCAATTGTTCCTAGTGAAGGAAGCAGAGTGTAACATGGGTGCGAGCAGCCCTAAACGTGAGGTTCCAGGCACAGATCGCCCAGGCAGTCCGGTAAGCAATGCAAACGTTCAAAGTTTTCGAGTAATATAGTTGCTGCTTAGGAAAGGAAAACTTGTGTCTGTGTAATGTCATCTCAATATTCCAAGCATCACAAAATAATGGAAGTGCATTCAATTATGCACACTTGCAACACCCATTTTCCACTTAGAAGGAAACATAATGAACTAAACGATAGATTAATCTCATTTTAGATACAGTTGGGAGAAGTTGGCCTGAATACTGTGAGATTGCTCTCTTCTATGAGCAGTAGAAGGACATCTGTAATGTCCAACATTAGAACACAAGTTAGTGCCTGCATCTTACTGAAACAACATCACTCTTATCAATACAGCACTCTTTTCAGTTCACTGAAATGTCAATCTATATTATGCTCTTGCATTGTGGAATAGGGAGAACCTAACTCTTGGTGTTTATAGAACATGGAATACCAGATGAAATTGTATGCAGATTTCCATGAAGCTGAGTGCCAGTTTATTTAAGTTATAATATGGTTATCTCTGAGCCACAGATTTGGAGGATTCAACCCCATGACAGTATAGATCACATGACCTAGACTGACAGATCAGTGCAATACGAAAGGAGTGCTGCCATGATGAATCTACAAATTTTTGGATGGGATTTTAAAATGAAACTTAAGTACAGATGTGAATTTCCAAAGAAAGGCAAGGACAATCCCCTGTGTCCTGACCTATAAACCACTCTCAACAATGCATTATCAGGTCCTTTCTGCTTTTGCTGTTTGCTGGGCTGTGGTTGCTGTTGGGTTTGCACTTGTTAAGGTTGAGAATGACAGAATCTGAATCATCTGTTGCAGGTGGCTGGTCCAAATGTGACATTTTGAGAGTAATCCATGAGCAGTAATGGGCGTTGGGACTACCTGATGATTTGAAAGGTGCAATTTCGATGCAATTCTTTCTTCTGCTGGAATGGAATGTGCATCAAATATGCAATATTTGCAGTTTTTGAAGCACGTTTTGTTTTTACAAGACGTACTTTCAAATGTTATTTTTTGGCTAGGGTGAATAGGTGAAAGATTTTGTGTCGAAATCAATGAATAGACTCTTGCATTATTTCAAGGTGCGGTGTTAGTCTCCGATGCAATGTTTAACAAGCTCTGGCTTAATACTGCCTTAATTTCTAAGAGGCCCCTCAACTTTACATTGAGCAAACTTATTAAGTCGTATCCAGGGAAAGCCATTTTTTTTTTATGGCAAAGTTCTTTGTTTGTACTACATGATCATCTCTGTAATGTAATCTCTTCATTGTTTTCCCCTTGAGAAATATGGCAAATAAAATGCGTTTTCTCCCCAAGTTGATGCAAAGCCTGAGTCGAGACAGTTCAGAAAGTATCATTTTGAAATTAAGTGCACCATTTGCCTGACGATGTAGAGTGTGGACAAGATGGAGCGATAAACATCTTGATTTCATTTCTTAATGAAATTTTCAATTTGTTTTCTGCATTTAGCTGTTGTTCTTAGTTCAGACATATTGAATGAACGGTTAATGGCCACAACAAGAAGCAAGGCTTGTCAGCGGCAGCAGTCCCTGGGTATTCTGGTCTCCCTGCTGTAGAAAAATGTTGTTAAACTTGACAGAGTTCAGAAAAGATTTACAAGGATGTAGCCAGGGGTTGGAGGGTTTGAGCTATAGGGAGAGGCTAAAAAGGCTGATGCTCTTTTTCCCGGAGCATCGGAGGCTGAGGGGTGACTGTATAGAGGTTTATAAAATCATGAAGAGCATGGATAGGGTAAATAGCGAAGGTCTTTTTCCCAGGGTAGGGGAGCCCAAAACAAAAGGGCATAGGTTTAAGGTGAGAGGGGAAAGGTTTAAAAGGGACCTAAGGGGAAACATTTCACTCAGAGGGTGGTATGTGTATGGGATGAGCTGCCAGAGGAAGAGGTGGAGGCTGGTACAATTACATTTAAAGTGTATGTGGATGGGTATATGACTGGGAAGAGTTTAGAGGGATATGGGCCAAATGCTGGCAAGTGGGACTGAATTAATTTAGGATATCTGGTCTGCATGAACGAGTTGGTCTGATGGTCTGTTTCTGTTGTATATGACTCTGATTCTGACTCTACTGTTCATCCCCAATACACTGTTTTATTACTATTCTGCAACGCCCTTGCACGTAGGATCTGCGGAGGAATCAACGCAAGATTGCGGACCTGAACTCAACAATTCGTAAACTAGAAGATAGGAACACGCTGCTGGTAGATGAAAGGAATGAACTCGTAAGTGATTTAAGTTGAAAGCCTGACTGTATTTCCACAGGGCTAAAATCGCACCTGGTCCTCCTCTAGCAGTCTGGAGTCAAGTTCATCCCTGGGTTTTAAAACAAGCTCAATAGAAGCATCTCATCCTAGTTTTATGAGTTACAGACTTGTAACATCACCACCAAATATTAGCACAGTTGACAATGCAGTTCTCCTGCATCTTTGGCATAGTCTACCTCAAAGAGCTGTGGTAACTCTGTTATTGCCAATGTTCAAGATTGATAGACATTTAGGTATTAAACACATCACGGGGTCTGAGGATAATGAGTACTATGGTAATTCACCTCACTAATGTCTTTCAGGGAAGGAAACCTGCCATCCTCACCTGGTCTGGCCTACATGTGACTCCCAGACCCACAGCAATGTGGCTGACTCTCAGCTGCGCTCTGAAATGGCCCGACAAGCCGCTCAGTTCTACCAATTGTGATGGATTCTAATGCCATTGTGGACCAACCCACAGCACATGGACTGCAGTGGTTCAAGAAGGCAGCTCACCACCACCTTCTCAAGGGCAACCAGGGACAGGCAGTAAATGCTGGGCCCAGTAAGCAATGCCCACATCCCAAAAATGAATTTTATAAAAGCCATGATTGAGTAAAATGGTAGAGTAGGCTCAAGAGGCTGAATGGCCCATCCGTAGTTCCTTTCATCCCATAATGTACTGAACTGTCACCCCCAATTATTTTATGGTAATTGGGAGTAAGGCTTTTAATATTACTCTCTCTAACTCAGCAGACACTAAAGCCAAGAGTGCTATTATTGCCAACATGCTAGTGAATAACTAACTCAGTCAAAACAGTCAGTCTCTCATGACCTTTCCATTCTGAATGGCTCCAATACTTAAAGGATAAGTGGCTTCTTCGGTTATCAGCATATGGCCTGAACCAGACTAAACCCTGTGTCACACTTTGTGCTCCGAATGCCTCCAAATAACAGAGTCTTTTTCTCCACGTCCCATTGATTCCAGTTTTAATAGGGCTCCTTGATGCCATGTTTGGTCAAATGCAGCCTTGATGTCAAGGGCTGTCCCTCTCACCTCACCTCTGGAATTCAGCTCTTTTGTCCATGTTTGAACCAAGGTTGTAGTGAGGTCAGGAGCTGAGTGGCCCTGGCAGAACCCAAACTGGGCGTCACTGAGCAGGTTATTGCTGAGTAGGTGCTGCTTGATAGCACTGTTCAGTATCCTTTTCATCACTTCATTGATGATCAGCTGGAGTCTGATGGAACAGTACTTGGCCAGGTTGAATTTGTCCCACTTCTTGTGTGCAGGACCTACAGGGGCAATTTTCCACATTGTTGGGTAGATTCCAATGTTGTAGCTATACTGGGTTCTGGAGCACAAGCCTTCAGTATTGTGGCTGGAATGTTGTCAGGATCCATAACCAATACCTCCAGCCATTTGTTGATATCATGTGGAGAGAATCGAATTGGCTGAAGACTGGTATCTGTAACACTGGGGACCACTGGAGCAGGCCGAGATGGATCATCCACTTGGCACTCCTGACTGAGGATGGCTACAAATGCCTTAGCTTTATCTTTTGCACTGATATGCTGGGCTTCCCCCATCCTTGAGGATGGGAATATTTGTGGAGCCTTCTCTTCCAGTGAGTTGTTTAATTCTCCATTTATGACTAGATGTAGCAGGACTCCAGAATTTAGATTTAATCCGTTAGTTGTGGGATTCCTTAGTCCTGTCACTTGCTTTCTGCTTCGCAGATTGGCATTCAAGTGGTCTTATTTCATAGCTTTACCAGATTCAAACCTAACTTTTAGCTTTGCCTGATCTGCTCCTGGCAAAAGATCACCATATTGTTGTGTGTATGTAGTCACTTGTAGACCATACCAAGGTTGGCAGTTTTCCTTTCATGAAAGGAATTAGAGAGCCATAAAACAATCAACGATATTTTTGTGGTCATCATTAGCCCACACTAATGTCCTTTAGGGAAGGAAATCTGCCACCCTTACCTGTCTGACCCATATGTGACTTCAGACCCACACAATGTGGTTGACTCTTTACTGCCCTCTGTGGCAATTAGCGATGGGCCATAAATGCCCAATCTCCTTCATCCTCATTCCCTTCCCCTCCTCCCCTCCCCTGCCCCCTCCTTCTCTTCCTTTCCCCTCCCTCCCCCTCCTTCCCCCCCCCCTTCTCCCCCCTCCCCTTCTCCCCCTTCCCCTTCTCCCCTCTTCTTTTTCTTCCCTTTCCCTCCTCCCCCCGCCCTTCCCCCTCCTGCCCTTCCTTTATCCCCATTTCCCATTCCCTTTCCCCTTATCCCTCTTTGTTGTCCCTCCCTCATTTCCTTCCCCCTTTTCTTTACCCCTTCCTTCATCCATCCTCCCTCCCATCTTCCTTTGCTCCCTCCCTCCCCTCTTCCTTCCCCCCTCCCTTCTCTCTTCCTTTTCCCCTCTCCTCTCCTCTTCCCTTCCCTCACCCCCTTTCTGCGGGGATTTTCACCTTTGTTAAAAGCTCTTTGGAGTGCCCTTCAACCTTGAGTTGGCCTCTCGCTCTCACTTCTCCATACGTTGGCAGTTTCTATCTCTAATCTCAGGCTTCCTGCTGGCCACCTAACCTGCAGCACCTGCTGCCATCTTTAATTGGAGAGTCATCACGTTGCTGCCAAACTTGAGAACGCTCAGAATTGACATTTTCTTTCACTGTTTGTCCACGGGATGTGGGTATCACTGGCAAGAACAGCAATCATTGCCCTTGCCCTTGAGAAGATGTGGCACTTTTTACCACATACGACTTCAACGAGCAGAGAGCTATCCAATGATGCAACTCCCTATTCCCAATATCAAAATCATGAAGGGGCTTGATAGAATAACGAGGGATAAACTGTTCTCGATTGAAAAAGGAACAAGAACAAGACAGTGCAGATTTAAAGTCATTTACAAAAACAAGAACAAAATGAGAAATAAACTTTTTTTCTCTCAACGAGTGGTCACAATATGGAATGCACCGTCTAGAAATACGACGAAGGTGGGCTCAATTGATGCATTCAGGAGGGCGTTGGCTGACTATTTGGGTAAAAATAACTGAAAACTCAAAAACTGAGGTGATGAAAATCTATGAACCTGTCTGTTTTTAAATGCAAACCCAGGACTATGCCTTTCATCAAGCTTATTGCCTTGTCTGTTATGACTGCTGATTCTGGTGTTAAACCTTAGAAAACAGGTGCCTTGTCTTTAAACTTAGTTGGATGGTAGTGGTATGGGATAAAGCAGGAGATTGACACTAGGGAATGTTGGTCATGTAATGAGCCAGTGCAACCACGATGGGCCAAATGGCCTCCTCTTATGCTGTAACATTTCTGTGATTTTATAAATCTTCTGCCATTTGATATATCACAGCATTTCTCCATATGCTTCATGGATAGAGAAAGATCCGAAGCATTCCTTGCTCAAAGGTTTACTCCTTTATGTTAAAGAATATGACCGTCACTGAATATGCATAATTGGTGAAGACTGTCATTTTACTCAGGGCTCAGGACCTCGGTGTCACATTCATTTGCAGGTCCTGAGCTGACATCACCACAACATGAGGTAATGTATGACCAACCGACCAATCAAGGGCCAGGGTTCTTGTTCACTCTCCAATTAAAGATGGTGGCAGTTACCTCAGGTTAGGTAGCCAATAGGACACCTGAGATTAGAGGTAGGAATGGCTGGTATATGGAAGGGGGAGACGGAGACGGAGACGGAGAGGGAGATGGAGATGGAGATGGAGATGGAGAGGGAGAGGGAGAGGGAGAGGGAGATGGAGAGGGAGAGGGAGATGGAGAGGGAGAGGGAGATGGAGAGGGAGATGGAGACGGAGAGGGAGATGGAGACGGAGAGGGAGATGGAGACGGAGACTCAAGATTGAGGTGCACTCCAAACTGATTTTGACAAAAGTGAAATTTAGGTTAATAAATTCATAGTTGCCTCTATAATGATGTTTGGCATTTTCCCCACAGTAAAATAAACACGTCCTAAAGATTTGACCATGTTCTGGGTCTTGTAAACAATATCTCACTTAAGCACAAAGTTCTGTTCGGTTGCATGTCCAAGTCTAAAGATTATTAAATTGCTTCCACTGACATTCTTAACATTTCGTGCAGAAGAATAGATTTTAAATTGGATTGTAGTTTATTGGCTGAATTTGAACAATCCTTACAGTGTTATTGTTGACTGAATGGACCCAAGGCGGCCATTGACCAGTGGAAACTGTGTAACGCCTGAGGACACCAAACAATTGTGTGACAGGTTGGGAAGGAGACAAAAGGTCAAAGAAAATTAATTTTGAACTTGTGTTTCTCAGCTAAAGCGAATTCGTGAAGCCGAGAAACAATATAAACCTCTACTGGAGAAGAACAAGTGCCTGTCTAAGAGAAATGATGATTTAACTCAGTCTTTACAACGCATGGAGGAGAAGCTCAAAGTACTTTCAAGAGAAAATACAGAAATGGTAATTTCAAACTATGGTGCATGTTTATTTCTCCATCTCCTTCATGTTCTAGTCATCTTCTTACAGGAAGGTTCAGAAGAGATTTGCCAGGATGTTGCCAGGTATGGAAGGTTTGAGTTATAAAGAAGGGCTGGATAGGCAGGGACTTTTTTCCTCATTCATAGGAGGTTGAAAGGTGACCTTATATAAGTTTATAAAATAACGAGGGGTACAGATAGTGTTAATGGCAGGTGTCTTTTCCCTGTGATGGAGGATTTCAAGACTAGGGGACATAATTTTAAGGTGAGAGGAGAGAGATTTAAAAAAGACATGAGGGGCAAATTTTTTACCCAGAGGATGGTTCGCGTGTGGAATGAACTTCCTGAGGAAGTGGTGGATGTGGGTACAGTTGCAACATTTAAAACTCAATTGGATAGATACAGAAATAGGAAAGGTTTGGTGGGATATGGGCCAGGAGCAGTGCTAACCACTGGGACCAGTTTAGTTTGGGATTATGATCGGCATGGACTGGTTAGACGGAAGGGTCTGTTTCTGTGCTGTATGACTCTATGGAAAATGACACCCAACTTTTATGAGGTTAGTCACACTACTTTCTGATTGGATTTGTTTCAAGTTATTGAAATTATGTTTACTCCAGCTTTTCAAATGGCCACCTGATGGGCCCCATTATTAGTCCAGATTGGTCCTGCTCTGGCTCGTGATGACAAGAGTTAGAAAACAAGTCTCTGCGACAGAAATGAACGCCAGCTAGTTCAATGACTGTGCCCTCTTTGACTTTCACTGTAGGAAGTGATGAAAAATCACACAGCCAGCAGGGGCACAACTGATGAATGGAAATATTTTGCAGCAAGCTTAGGTTTGAGGAAAGGAAAATCTTTGGTTGAAGAGGCTCACACTTTCCTTGTGCCGAGAAGGAGGAACAGTCCTACTCTGCTTGCTCTCTCAGGGAAAGTAACAGGGTGGCTTGGTGGTTAGCACTGCTGCCTCACAGAGTCAGGGACCTGGGTTCAGTTCCACCCTTGGGTGACTGTCTGTGTGGAGTTTGCACATGCTTCCCATGTCAGCATGGGTTTCCTCCCGCAGTCCAAAGATGCGCAGGTTAGGGTGGGCTAGCCACACTGAATGTGGGGTTATGAGGCCTGTGTGGGAGTTCTTTGGAGCATCAGTGCAAACTGAATGGGCCAAATGGCCATTTCTGTACTGTAGGGATGAAAGAAAGTTCTTGCCTTTCCTAGCCTCTTAGGATGCCAGACCTGTTTGAGGATGGGCCCAAGGTGCATGAGGAGGTTGGATGTGTTTGTTCGTGATCTTCTCTGCTGATGTGACCATGTCAGGAGGTGATAGTCTGTCTATAGCTGGCCTTGGTTCTTTTAGACTTTAGGGACCGATAAGATGGTGGGTTGTGGGAGAAGAGGAAATGGCTGACATTTTCTGGAGAGAATAAAGATGGCCTAACCTTGACTAATTGGATAAGTGCAAATCCTTATGCACTAAGGGCATAAGGAGTGCATTGTGAGGAGAGAAATTGCTGACATGGTTTGGGGGGGAATGGGTATGGAAATTCTGCCTGTGTATCCTGCCCACTATTTTTAAATGACTCCAGAAAAGTTAGGCCACTGAAGGTGTGGCACTGTGGTAGAGCAATGAGCCTCCTGAGAAGCAACATGTAAGCAGGGAGACGTGGGTTTGATGCTAAATGCGTCGGACACTATGTGTAGGCGAGTTGGAGTAAGGTTTCAAACAGAAAGCAGCTGCTTTACAAGGGAAATGGGAATGCAAATACTTTGGTATGCTTATTAACTATCTACAAGCTGCAAGTTGAGGTGAGATGGCCAGTAGCTAAGAAATATTGAGAGTGGTGTGGATCCATGTAAAATAAGGTAAAACCAACAAATTTGAAAGGCAATGTATAGTAAATGGAACACAGTGCATTAGATTGACATTCTTAAAGTAGTATGCAGCCTGAGTATATGTAATTATGATTATCCAATATAGTCTACAGTAGCATTCTGATTACTGACCAGCATTACAGCGTTGTTGTAAGCAGAAAAAATAGCTTGCTTCCCAAAGGATTACTTTCTAATTTTTTTTTATTGTGAGATGGTTTGGATTTCCTTTCTTTTAAACAAAAAACCCTTCTTTTTGTAGAAAGAGAAAATCAGTTGTCACGCTCCGTTGAAGAAATTACGTTCCTTGAACGATCTTGACCAAGCCCATGAAGAACAAGAAGTGGAATTCTTAAAGCTTCAGGTTCTTGAACAGCAGAATATCATCGATGATTTGACGAGGGTAAATCCTTCAAATCTCATTGGTTACCTACATATGTCTCTTATGAATTATCATACCCTCCATCATTTCTTTACTCCTGTGAGTATTTACCCACAGGTGAAGAATAGGTGCTGTTAGGTTTTCTTTTTAATATTATTTAGTGTCACAGCACCTATGCAGCCTGCAGGTTCCATTGCCCACTTATCACCAGCTGGCATGCACCTCATAATTGTACTTGGGAATGACGCAAATTTGCATTGCCTCCATAGGAATACACCTGGGCCTTTATCCAGCACCTCCCCAACTTGGCACAGCTCAGGCTGACTGTGCAGCCAATCTACGTAGAGTCATACAGCATGGAAACAGACCCTTCGGTCCAACCAGTCCATGCCGAACATCATCCCAAGCTAGACTAGCCCCGCCTGCCTGCTCCTGGCCCATATCCCTCCAAACCTTTCCTATTCATGTACTTATCCAAATGTCTTTTAAATGTTGCAATTGTACCCACATCCACCACTTCCTCAGGAAGTTCATTCCATATGCGAACCATCCTCTGTGTGAAACAATTTGCCCCTCGTGTCGTTTTTGAATCTCTCTCCTCTCACCTTAAAAATATGCCCCCTAGTCTTGAAATCCTTCATCCTAGGGAAAAGATGACTACTATTAACCCTATCTATACCCCTCGTGATTTTATAACCTTCTGTAAAGTCACCTGTCAACCTCCTACGCTCCAATGAAAAAAAGTTCTAGCCTGCCCAGCCTTTCTTTATAACTCAAACCTTCCATACCCAGCAACATCCTGGTAAATCTTTACTGAACCCTCTCCAGTTTAATAATATCCTTTGTATAACTGGCGCTTCCCACTCTTCAAGTATAAAGCAATCTGACTAATATACATATATTTTAAAAAGCTGCGTACAACATTTAGTTGATTCTGAAAAATAGTCTAATCAAAGGACACACTCATTCTTTGCAATAAATATTTTCAATAGCACAGAGAGTGTTTTTAAAGGTATTTTCTTTCCATGTACTTATGCAAACAGAGCACTCCCCAGAGAATTTTTAATAGAATAGTGGGGAAATGATATTATTTAATTCTGGCAGCAACGCTTGAAATGTATTTGTATGAAGAATAGTTTGTGAATGCTTAATGCGTTCCTATGCCATTTTTTGACCTACTATTTTAATCAATACATTAAGCTGTTTATTTTAAAGTAGTGGGCAGCGCAGTGGCTCAGTGGTTAGCACTGCTGCCTCACAGTGCCAGGAACCTGTGTTTGATTCCAGTCTTGGGCACCTGTTTGTATGGAGTCTGCACATTCTCCCCGTGTCTGCGCGCGTTTCCTCCCACAGTCCGAAGATGAGCAGTTTGGGTGAATTGGTCATGCTAAATTGCCCATAGTGTCCAGGGATGTGCAGACCTTGTGGATTAACCATGGGTATGGGTGGGATTCTCTTTGGAGGGTTTAGACTTGATAGGCCAAATGGCCTGCTTCCACACTGTAGAGATTCTATGATTCCATTAGATGCTCTGGTTAAAACTGTACATCAAAAAATGTGGTTTTAGTGATTGAAATCTTCATATGTTTGCCTCCACACATCACAGGTTATAGAGTCAGGCATTCATAAAGGGCTACAGCACAGATAAAAGCCCTTCAGCCCAACAAGCACTTAATTATGAACAGAAACAAAGTTGCTGGAAAAGCTCAGC